TTTGTGTGAAGTCTCCTTGATTTTCCATAGTCATTTCCAAACTGATTCAGTCAGTTAATGCGTGCACGTTGATCAAAACATTTCATCGACTAAAGCAGCCGAGCAAAGATTTAGAAAATGACAAGAACTTCACTCAAATTCAATAAAAGCCGATGAAAGTGATTTCTATGTAGGGGTCTGTCATTTTATCTGAAGAAAACTAATTAAGTATTATCAAAGAAAGCTGAATCGGTGCAATAGTCAAGAATGGTTCGGCGAGCATATGATACAATTATTTCGCATTTTTTTGTATTGACGAAGAAATGTTAGTATTTCCTATTGAATGATTTGATTTAATAATGACAGTAATTACTAGTGAAAATTAAAAGTTGTGATTGCAAACAGTTATGATGGATTCTCAGTAAGGTAAGCCCAACAAAATGCGCTTCGAATATTGAGCTATGCTATGTATGGGCAAACCCTCTCTCTTTAACGTAGAAGCGATATTCCAACCCAGGTCCAAAGATGCCCCAGAATCTAGCTTTGGGTATTGAAAAAATGTTTTTTTAATATCATAAGGTTCTGAATCACTAAGATAATTACTCTTCGACTAAAGTTTTCATAAGTCAATTCTTTTTATTTCCTTTTTTTGTTCATGGATAGATGTATCTTAACGGTCATCTATTGTTTATTATAGTTTTCTATATAACGCAATGCGTTACTTTTGATAATGATATATAATTTTTAGGAAAGTAAGGTCTACACATAATCCTATACAACTCCACTATTAAAGCCATTAGCAGAGACAGAAGACGCCATTAGGTTTAGATTTAAACAGAAATTATTTAGCAATATGTATAATTCTGAATGTCATTTTAGATTTAAAGAGTATTACTTCAGCAATTGAAGTTTTTATCAATTAAAATTTTGATTGGAAGTAAACTAACGAGAACGTTTTTGTCGGTAATAATTCCACGGATTTAAAACACCGCAGAAAATACCGAAATACACTTAAAATCCGAAAAAAGTAACCTAAATGTGAAATTGTGTAATCTAAGATACTATTCAAAAACAATTACAATAGCCAAACTATTTAATCGTTGACGGTTATATATATTTATTTAATTTTACCCATGAAATATGGTGCTATATCAGTCAAATATATTTCATATTTTTTAAAAATAAATATGAAATATAAATATGAAAGTGGGCGGAGTCAAAACTCATATTTATTTTAAGGGACTTCTTTCGCCGTTTTGTTTGAAAAATCTGATAAATACAAAACAACTTTTTCTTGAATATTGTTTTGAAAACTATCTAGCATGATAGAAAATGGTCTAACTAAGAAAAATAATTCGAACACCAATATCTTTAATTCAGTAATTAACGCTGTACAGACGTTTAAAAAGTTGTTTACATGACGTCACAATGTAGCGCCAAACAGCGCGTGCTTACGCATAAATTACTGCGCGCTGTACAACTGCAGTTGGTAGAAAGCAAGGGGATTCGTTACCATTTTCTTTGATAATGAAATTAAATAAAAAGGTTATTTTTTCGTTTTTTGTGAAATATGGTATATATTTTCACTCAACATGATAAAATGCCACATATTTTCACTCGCCGTACCGGCTCGTGAAAATATGTGGCATTTTATCATGTTTCGTGAAAATATATTCCATATTTCACGCAAACGAAAAAATATCCTCTTAATATTTCATTAATATTAAAAAATATAAGAAAATAAGATATTTTTTATCGATTGAACAAACCAATCGCTTACTTGAGATATATCACTGAATATACCTGATAAATCCGTTTTGTGTATGTGCGTTTTAATCAAATTATTTATACAAATGGAATATTAAAATTGACAATTCAAATTGACTAGAAAGAAAAATTACTGTCAATAATGCGCATTCGGATCTGCCTCGGCTATTATCTATAATATTAACCTCGGAAACAAAACGGATTGAAAGTAGTTCTACCACGTGATTTCAGATGTAAACAGAAACAGAGATTATGTGAAACGAATGTATATATTTGACATCAAATGCCTGTTTCAGTACTCTTTTGCTTGAAAATATGTCTGACAACAATTTGTAATTTAAATATGCCCACTGATGTTCAATTTTAAACAAATCCAACGAAATGTCAACAGGTTGGTTTTTTGTACTTTCGGTGTCAACAACCATAATAATAAATATATAAAAAATGAATTATTTGCTTTTGTACCTATGATATCACTTATTTTAGGTGAACTTTTACTACATATATTGGAAATAAACTTGTAAACAACTCCCAACATTAAATTACTATTTGTTTACATGTTTAATTTCTTAGCGTAGGTTAGACCGAAATACCGCATCCGTTCTGTGTATTCATACTATTGTGTTCGAGGTCCTTATCCGAAGACTGACGGAAAGGGCCGAGTAGTTGCGATTGCAATAATGCGGTCAAAAATTTTTTTTATATATTAAAGCATTAAATTATAATGCGGTAGATTGTGATAGGCATGAATAGATATATCAATGAGAGAATGAACTTTGAAAGAAACGAAACCAGTTATGTAAAGGAGACAAATGTGCGAACGCAACAATGCAACATTGTAAAGCTTGTCATGATCATACAACAGATATTATAATTTCACTTTTATACAAATCAACGTACACGTAGGTGTATATTTAACAATGAAAATTCGTTATAATCCTTTAGTTTGAACGTCAAAGAGAGTTTCTAACTTCTAAAATGAACAATTTTATTTTATAGGATAATGTATCAGTATGATTATATAAGAGTCCTTAATCTCCAAATGAGTTTGTCTGTTTGTTTAAGTAACGTCATTTCAAATAGTAAAAATAGCGAGGAGTGCGTGTTTCGAGGGTAATTAAATAGAGGATATTTGTTAAGTTCAGTGTAAGATCGGAATATTTTTCACGGAGTGAGCACCAAAAGGTATATTTCATGAGTGGCGCAGCCACGAGTGAAATATGAACTTTTTGTGTTCACATGGTGAAATATATTTCGATCTTACACTAAACTAAACAATTTTTTTCTTTTTATTACATGCAAAGAAACGTTTTAAAAAGAAATTAAACCTAATACTGAATGAAAAGCTCGCCAAATAATAATACAACGTGACGTCATTTACGACGTCACGTCATTAAGTTGGTACTAACTACTGTGCATGCTGGTATTTCACTGAAACAAGGTAAGGGGCTTAAATTCAAAACAGTGAAATTATCAAAGTGGTAATTTCACTGTTTCAAACAGTGAAATTACCAATTTTATATCACTGATATATTTCTATAAACCACCGAAAAGAATGTAATAAAGCGTATTAAACAAGCTGACAGCGTTAAAACGTGTCTGTTTTGTAGTTTCTGTTTGTTTACAAGTCATTTATTCAAACTACCACAATAAGCGGGTTTTTTATTTGTCTTAAGTGCCAGATTTAACACAACAAGAGAGTAAATATATCGAAATTGTTTCAGCATGTCATTATTGTTATAGCCGAAACTGACCAGGGTCTTCTCAAGAAATATAATTATGAAACTTACTTAAAGCACGGGTTTAATTAAGATACAAATATATATGTTTTTTAACCCTCTTAGTCTCCAGTAACATTGTGGAAATTCTAGAATTAACTATGTGCAATAAAAATATCGTGCATCTGTAAAACTATGAAATCTCACCACTATTTTTGTTGTTATCATTGACATCTTTTATTTATTGACTGTTTATTGATTTATCTATTGATTTATTTGTTTATTTTTCTGTTATTTTAGTCTGTGTGTGTTTTGTAAGGTTTTATTATAGGTGTATTAGTTTAAGGGATATTTAGAGATGTGAATTGTTGTCTTTCATTTTTTAGTTATTAATTTACAGGATTTGATTCATTCTGAAGATTTAGACTATCAATAAATGTACATGTATTTACGTGTATCTAGGCTAACTGAAATTAAACATATAGATAAAGTCAATAGACCATGCTTTTATAATCATAGTGTCTATGATTGTAATGGCATTCCACTATATCACATAAACTTATTTGTATACAGTACAGTATTTAATTGTTAAAATATGAGCCGCGTCACGACAAAACCAACATAATGGGTTTGCGACCAGCATGGATCCTGACCAGCCTGCACATCCGCGCAGTCTGATCAGGATCCATGATGTTCGCTACAGTTTCTTTACTTGTTATAGTGTTTGTAAGCGAACATCATGGATCCTGATCAGACTGTGCGGATGCGCAGGCTGGTCTGGATCCATGCTGGTCGCAAACCCATTATGTTGGTTTTGTCATGAAACGGCTCTTATATAACGATTGTTGGTGTTTGATTATATTGTACTTATTAGTGTCATCGTTCCTAACAGCGACATTTCACGTACATGTACATACAGAATGTAAATATTACATATTTGATTTAGGTACAAAAACAATTCAACGGCTATACCTTTTTGGGTGTTAATACCATGTACTTTATACATTTAATATGGCTTCAGACTTCGTTTTAAAATCATTTGTTTTACGTTAAGTTTGAATTAGACATGGCAATCGTAATCTAAAAGATTGTTCTAAAGCGTTCATAAGCTTGAAACGGCGCCTTCAATTTTATCAATCGGAACATACAATGTTTATAATATTAAAATAAAAATCTTAAATAGGAAAATAAATTGAAATCATATACTTACAAAAAAGATTTTTGTTACAAAACAGACTATTTTTTATGCAGCATCCATTCACTTTTATATGTAGAAACTTTTTTATATAATTGTAAATGACAGGTAAACAAATGTCGTTCTTATTCAATTCAATTATATTGTAGACATCTGGATACAAAATATATTTCATTTCCGTCTATACAACAAAATGATTCATCCTCGGATATGTGTTACGAAAAACTTAAAATAATGTAAATTTAGGTTCATCAAGAGTGTCAGAATATTTCTATTATATTATGTTAATCTATTATCTTTTGTTTTGTATTATTATCTTGAATTACACCTTTAGAACTTACCGATGGTTGACACAACCGTTCCGACGAAGTAGAAGGATCCCGAAAAATCCCATCTCGGCCTCTTGTTTCCGACAAATCCAGCTGATTCCGCCCCCGAATGAAGTTTAAGTAAATCTTCCAAGTCACTTTTATTTACCGACGGATATTTTTCATAAAAGTTTTGTAAATGAGCATTGTAATTTTTCTTTTCCTTTTCTTCATTTTCTCTTTCCAGCACCATAAACACCGATGCACCCACTAACATATATACCACCATAACTAGCATAAGAAGAAAAAAGCGCGCATTGTCTTCCCGTAAATGCAAGGTGGAACAGCAACCTTTGTGGGTTCTGGCCATTACTTAGAAAAGGGCTACAAGCCCCATACCGACCAATAGCCCCTCCACATTCACATTTCCTTAAATCCAATCCCGTTGTCGCGTTATCAATTATTCATATTTACAATATTTTTCTCGAAAGAATCAATTTTGTTCACAGCTATTTCTGAATAAATGACCAATTTTATTATCCGCTCTATATTTTCACCGGTGCTTTTAAATCCATCTTCGTCCTGCTGGTGTGTCGCGACAATATTTCTATATCGACTACTTCATACACTATCTACTAGCATCTCCAAACAGCCACATATACTTCCAGTCTTCGCCAGTTTTCCCTTATAGTAGAAATCCTACTTTACAATATAATACAAGAGTTAACGGAGACGCAAATGTATCGAAAACAGACGCTACGTTACTATAGAAACATTTAGCCGCGGCATATATTGAAAGATAATATCTATTTAATGCAGTTATTAATAACGATGTCATTTCATCCGCTTATCACGCTATCTACCCCCTGGGTTACTCGAGTGGTTTCCACTATTATCCCGATTGGTTCAATACATCTTGTTGTCCGAGATTTTTAGTGCTAGTCCGCGAATAACATTTATCTAAAATCTAAATGAAATGGAAAAATCAATACATTTTATCTGTATATCTGAATGTTGGTTAAACAGAAAAACAGAATTTGAAGTTGAAACTTAATGGGGAATCGATACTTTTCCATTTGATTTTAAAGTTAACATTATGTAAATGGTAATTCTATCCGTTCAACAAACGTGTGCTAGTAGAAAGTATTTTTATGGAATATCTAAATATAGAAAGTATTTTTATGGAATATCTAAATATTTTGTTTATGTTTTCGAATCATAACCTTGTTTTTATTTCAATACTGCCGTTACATTTTGTCACTAGAATAATCAAAATATACATATTTGATGTTATTTTCAAATTAATGCGAATTTTGCAGAAAAATTTTAGAACTTTCTTTTGAGAAAACCATATAGAAAATCTCAATGTATATACAAAGATTACAACACAAAGACCTCAAGAAAATGTTGTGTCGTTTTACTACAATAAAAATGTACATAATGTGCTGTTGAATACAAATCATGTAAATATTTGAAAGAGTTAACCATTTTCTACACATGTAAGAGGTTATTAAATGTCTGCGGCTATAAAGCTAATATTTTCGTATCGAGTAATTCGTATAATGATAATGGTACGGAACTATTTATTCAGTTAGACGTCCAGACAGTTGTGTATTCCATTCAAACAAAACAGATTGTATGAAAAAGGGAATAATATTCACATATATTTGTTTCCGAATATTGTGAATACATGTACCTTTTTGAGATTCTTAGTAAAGCATGGAAAAGGACAAGAAAACAACTATAGAGCAATTTCGCACGCAAAAGAGCATTATGTCACATAATTTCAGCTTAATTCTAGAAACTACAGCTGTTATATCACTTTTTTCATACCCTCTGTGTCCGCTTTAACTAAATTTTCGTGTTACTATGCAATAAATGTTTGCAAAGCAACAGACAGTTCCATTATTATAAGCTTAAATACGATTATCTCAACAGAATTTAAAGTACAACATTTGCATCCATCGGTAGTGATTAATTGTGATGACATTTTTTTTTTGAAAGATAAATTTCAGAATAATTTATGGATAGATTATCAAATTTGCATATTTTAGAACTTTTCGACTTTACTGGTAAAGTTTTCATAATGATTTTTTTATTTCAATATTTGGAAATTAGTATTAATAAGAGAGAAAACAATTATTTATTAATATTGTAAATATGTCGTTTTTCTCTTAAAAAGACTTATACTTGTCCTCTCAAATAGCTAGGATTGCATAGCAAGAAGGAAAACAATATTCTTATCAACAAATTAAGTGTTCTTGTTCGTTTATGCCTGAAATAATAAAAGAAGGGCGTCCGAGGTCTTCCTACACCAGCAAAGCTAGAATGGCGCCTTATTTTACTGTGCTTGACCAACGTAAAACATAAGCACATAGAAATATCATTGACTTCCAAAATACGCTAGTAGTATATCAAACATGGACTCAGTCGTGTCAATAAAAAAACAAAACATTTCATTGGTTACAGATGCAATTTCCGGAAAACAAAGTCAATAATATGTTGATAAATAAATGTTAATCCCTATAAGCTTCTTACAAGTTCAGTGTTCATATAACCTTTCTAGTGGAAAATGCCAACTACCTGGTACTGACGAACTTTACAATCAAAATACGCAGTGACACACCTACTAGCTTTAATGTAAACGGCACTTATACATACTCAACAAAATTTTTAATGAAGGGTACATAAATTTGCAACCATTACATGTTCTGGCCTAAAATGATGGATATCGGTAATAGCATTTGATTGTCACTGTGCATTAAATTGATATCTAAAATTTCATGTACTGTGCTTCACTCAGAAAGTGTGTAAATTATATAGACACCACTCAATATGCCTCACTCCCGCTTTTTAAGTTTAATAGAACTACATGAGTTTTCTATAAACAAAGATACGGTTGACCCATGTTCAAAGTGGTCACTCTAACGCATTGCTACTGAAAGATCAACAGTTTTACTACAGCAACACGTTGCTAGGCTATTAAGAGTGAACATCTCAACAACCAAACGCCAAGAATCTGAGAGAAACAGTTTCTTCCTATAAGTAAAAAAGATGATTTGTTGGATAATTTAATACTTGAGTATAAATTGGTAAACTGATATAGAATTACTCAATAGAGCATTCGAATACAAGGTATACTGCAAAAATGTTCACCCTGCGTTTTCATTTTGGTTCAGTACAGAGCATAAAATTAAACAAACAGTCGTATTTTAAATCTTATTGATGTGTACTTGTCTTAAGATGTGACAACAAATCATACCGGTTAGTAAGATTGTGGGGTATTTTACTACAACACAAAGGGAATGGTTCAATTCCAAATTGTGCAAACAACTTACACATTCTCTGCACTTGATCAATATCTACCTCTTCATTGAAAAGAAACATTGTTTCTGTGTGTGTTTATGTGTTTGTTGATTTTTAATGCAATTCATAATTTATAAATGTAATATATAAATGAATTCTGATGCTGTTTCTTTGATATTTTTTGTTGTTGAGAAAATCACTCGAATGATATTCAACAACAACAGTAAAAAGAATTTATAAAGACACCTTAATTATGTAATGTGCAGTCAGTTTGTGAGACAAATCAAACATGATACTTTTTAATGGTGTACCTAATCAAAATTGGAACATAAAATATATATACAATACTAACAATTTATATAATTGTGCAGTCAGAGACATTAAGTATCATTTGAGGCCATCTAATTAAGATTTACGTCTATAGACTTTACTGTTATGGGAGTACTCATGCACTTTCTTCTCTGAATTGTGATAATTTCATATAATTGAATTCTCATGGTTTGTTTAATGCATGATTATTTAAGCTTGATTGTAAAACAAGTTTTTGCAACTTACTCGTACTGATGGTTCATACGGAAACACGGTTGGTATCAGAGTAGGGCTTAACAAACGATCAATGGGTTTATGAGCGGACAAGTTTTACCATCAATATAACACTCATCTTTTGAATTAAAGTATAATTGATACAATTATCTTGTAAAATTCTCTATGTGAAATTAACATTTTTCATTGCGTGGTATTTTGTGATAAATACACATAATTGTATGATTCAGGCTAAGATAATTCCTTGTTTAATATGTGTTTTTCCCACCTCCCTCTTTTCATTGAAATAAAAAAGTTCTGTTTTCCTCATGTGTATTAATGCATTAATGTTATATTTCTCAAATGTTTGAATATACGATGTTGGGAACAGACAAAATATGCATTCAACACCTTTACTGGGTTTTAGGTCGCGAAAACATTACTATGGAACCCTGCGCCATTAAATTGCATCATAGCGAAAAAGTGCGCATAATAAAATACATTACTACTTACACCTTTTGCAATTTCACTGTAATACGTAAAAAATTTATCATAGGAAGAATCTCAGGGAATACATTTGATAAAATGGCATTGTATGCGACTTCAAATGTACCAAAGCTTGCAAGAACCTTTGCAGAGAAAAGAGTTACTTTTGTTCCAAGTTGGATTAGAGTTCAAATCAAATGATATAGTACAAGGGTTAAATGTAAAATTTAGATGACCGAATAATTACAATACAGTAAACTAAGATTATTTGAGCATTTGATTTACCTGTTATAACAGATCGATGAATCAATACCAAAGTAGAGTAGTAATTACGAAAATTGTAAAGCAAATATCATGTACAAAGGAAATGTTTATGCGTTATGGCGATTTGTTTATACACGGAAAACAAACATTTGTACAAACGGAAGCATTTGATATTTCCAGAAGTGAGAAATTGTGGAAGTCGGTCGGTACGTATACATGTGTAAATAAAATTTGTTACCTGGCTTTATTTGTGTTATGGATTTTCCCTGTTTTGAATTTGGGAAAGTCAATTAAAATTTTACAATATTTCATTAGCAAAATTGAGAAAATATGCTTAAAGCAACGGCTAATTCATTTCTGTGTCAGCAGGTTAATATTTAAGGAAGGGGTAAGATTAAGAAATGGAATGAAAGAATCAATTTAACGTTTTTTGCAAGTATTACAGTATTATCTTTCATTAAAGTAAGCGGTTATTCAGAAATATAAAAATGACTATAATATAATTTTGAAAAACCAAGCCACGAAATGTAACAAAATATATTTAATGAACCGTATCAGTCTTATTTCAAATATGCTGTTTTCAAAATACAGTCGTTAGTTGTTTTTTTTATCTTATTTATTGAATAAACATTGCAAGCTGTGCGGATTATTTAGTACTTGTTTATTTCTCGTTGTTGCTTTTCCCCAAAGTAATTGATATACTAAAGTCATTATTGAATAAAATCTCCGTCTAAGCTGGTTCAAGGTTTTCTGTTGATTCGTTAGCTGGTGTAAACAAATGTAAACAAGATTTAATCGTATTTATGATAACTGTGTTTGTCAACTTCAGTACCACATTAAACAAATAACACATAAAACAAATAATTACAAAAAATCAAGGTACAGAAAGTGGTCTTTCAAAAAAAAAACTATTAGGTAACGTAATGTATTTGAGAAACCCGCTTCTCAAAAACGTTACAATTTGTAAAAGTCCTCAGTTGAAATTTCAATCAAAAGTCATAGAATAAAAATTGAAAATGGTAATTTTATTTCAGTCATTTGGACACATTTTAAGCAAGAATTTTCATAGAAAAAGTTAATGCAATGTTACAATAGTATTGATGGTATTAATACTTTATTAAGTTTAACCATTCAATGAAACTGAGACATTCAAGATGTTGTAATCATAGATGTTTCAGACAATCACATGTATTTCCTAAAAAAGCTGGTCACGTGTATTAACATATGATTTGTTTGAATGTCATTATCGTTTCTTCACACCAAACACCTTTATTTATTAGAATTTGTCATAAATATATCTGTTGGCTTTTTTACCGATATTTTTGCAACAATAACGTAATGCTA